ATCTCAAAACAGAAAAGTTCAAAACTGAGTGAATAGAGTAGCCTTGCGTTTTTGCTGTAGATCAGGCGTTCCCAAACTTTTACACCTCGGCACCCTGGCTGTGCTAAAAAATTTCGCGGCACCCCTAAACTTCAAATGTCTACCAAAACAAGAAAACACAATGCAACCTTTACGCTCCTTCAGCTTTAATGTGAGGAATGAAATTGTTTTGATGATTTCAATATTTCCTTTAAGTTTATTGGGAGCTTTGACAATTTTACTCTTAAAATCATTTGACGCTGAAAGCTTGCTGGTATATTTGTTTTTATACGACTTCACAACAAGGATAGGTTACCAATTTGTCGGAACATTTTTTTATTATTATACCCGAGCGCACTTGTGCACAAGGGTATTATAACTTTGTTCACATAACGGTTGTTTGTAGCAGGCAAAACGAATCGAGATAGATATAGATAAATGTATACATAAATGATCAGACAGAAAAGAGAAATCGATTAAGCGGTGACTGTCTGTCCGTCCGTCCGTCTGTGCACACGATAACTCGAGTAAAAATTGAGATATCTTAACGAAACTTGGTACGTGGACTTCTTTTGGGCGTAGGACAGATGGTATTGAAAATGGGCGAAATCGGACAATAACCACGGCTACCTCCCATATAACGGTAATTTTCAGAAATACGAAAACTGCGATATTTTAGTAACTACTGAAGATAATTCACTCAAAATTGATATTTACAATGAGTTTTAGACGAAAAATAAGAATATTAAAAAAGTTTGGCAAATAGGCGTAGCCACGCCCACTTATGGTTACATGTGTATATCTTGGTAATCGCTGCACCAATTTCTTCCAAGCTTGGCACAGTTGTTAACCTTGGTATAACATACCAAATGGCCGAAAATTCTTAAAATCGGACAATAACCACGCCCACATCCCATATAACGGTGATTTAGAAAAATACAAGGACTTCGCCATCCTTTGCTACCAAAATGCGTTTACCATAATTCATACTGCACGACGAAGCCAGAACACAGTGGTTCAAAATCGGAATTCAATGTTCATAATCCACTGGAGCCTTCATTTTTCCACCAATTTTTACTAAAAACCAAAAAAAAAATATTTATTTTGGTGAACATTTTTTATAACATTTCAAAATTTTTTTGTTTAGTTTTTTGTTTTGGGAGAACCATACAATTGTTTTCAACTAGCTTTTGTTATGTAATATTTATTAACTGGAACAGGAGAATATATTTTCTTCAAACTGCTACTTTTTATACATTTTGCACTAAAAATTTAACATAATCAAATTAAAATTCAGAAATCAGGCTCAACTGGTCTTTTGCAAATATTGCAAGCTTTCATAAAAAATAAATAATCAAATGAAGCGAAAAATTAAGTGAATGAATGCCAGTTTTGAACCATTGTGCAGCAGGGGGTTTATTGTTCTCTTTCAGTGGAACTGGAAACTCAGCGTGCAACACGATCCTGGGCACAACTTTCCCTGTGCTTTATAGATTGTTCAAAGATTACCGGTTCAATAGAAACCCTTAAGTGGGGTGCGAAACAAGCTGGCGAAAGTTTTCATTATATTTTATAGGGGAAATTTTTATTTTTCATATTCTGCGTTTAAAAATTTACCTCTGAAACATGCAGAGCCGATTTAAAGGACAGTTTAAGAAATAAAGGACAAAAGGCGTCCTTTATTTTGAAAAATTATTATAAAGGGCAGGGGGTTAAAATAAAGGACTGTCCTTTAAAATAAAGGACGGATGGTCACCGTACATATATGTATATCGCTAACCGTTCTAGCAATTTGTACCAAACTCGGTATGGTACTGTGCTTGCCACATAGAAGCAAACCGTTGAAAATTGTTGAAATCGGACTAAAATTACGGCCGCTTTTCATATAACGGTCAATTTCAGAAATGCTTGAAACTTCAATATTTCGAAATTTAAGGACGCTAATTTACTTAAAATTTATACACCCCGGCTTATCATGTAGCGGTAGCTTTCGGAAAGGCGGAAAACATATATTTAATACTTGCGCCGGGTATTTAATGTTCGGCTCCGCCCGAACTTAGACTTTCTTACTGTTTTTTTTCTATGGACCACGTTAACCGATTACTATTTAAAGGAAAGGTGGGGTAATTTGGTTTAAATCCGATCATTGGATCATGAATAGATTAACGATAATCTTAAATTCTTAGATGGGAATTGAAATCCGTTTTGTTTTTTTGCTTAAAAATTGCTTGTTTGTGTAAGAATTTGTTGAAAATGCAGTCTCACATAGAAATGTAGAAGTAAGGCCCCTATTATGAGTTGCATACGACTGTGGTCGAAAGTGCAGATCGAACGAATTTTCATTTGGAATTATGACGCTTATTCGATGAAGAATAGCGCTATTGTAAATTTCGCTCGGTTAGGTTGTTTACAATAGTATATTTTTGACCGCTGAGGAGTTTTGTTTATAAATCGAGCAAACTAAATAGTGCTCGATACATATGTATGTAAATTTGTGCAAATTAAAATGAAATAAAAAAGAAAGTGAGTTTATAAAAACGTGGTAAAAATTAGTACAACGGAATTCTGGTTCAACGATTCGTCAGAGGATGAGAGCTTGATAAACTGCTTAAGAGGGTTTAAGTGTAGTCTTTCGAATATATTTTGACATAAAATATATGTAAGAAATTTGTCTACAGATTTATTAAAAACTTCCGACTGTCTAAAGAGGCGTTTGTGTGCAAATCTATTTTTTATTTCAGGCATACGCCGCGGGGTGCCGCGTCACCCACTTTGGGAAGGCCTGCCTTAGATAATGAGGACCAATTGAATGGTCGTCACGAATAACGTTGTAAGCGCCATTTTTCTCAAAACTAGTTTTTTCGCAGATTGCCGTTAAAAATACTCTCACGTATTATAAGGTCGCGAAATTTCTCAATTTCCATCAGTTTTCAAACATTAACCTGCGGTCCAAAGTCAGTAGTGAGTGGAAAAACGTTTTAAGTGCAGGTGACCAAGGCCAATTTTAAATTTTTTCAAAAACCGGAGTAAATCTAATCTGATCTTAGTGGAGTCCAAACACTAGTAGCGAACGAATTCTTTACATTTAGTCTATTCCTTTGAACTTTGGACTAAAACCTGTGGAACAGTCAAACTACAATTTTACTCTCTCTAGTGAGAGTAACAGGAGAACAGATGCGGAAGTGTACAGGAACGCAAAAAGCACTATTTCCTGTAAAAACGTCAGTCGGTTTGTTTACATGTCATTGGTACAACACTGATTTGGCTGAAATATCACTAAATAATTATTAAAATCTATACATATTCAAATATTTCGTTGTTTACTTCCATTTTTTAACAGTATACGGTTTTTTGCTTTCACCGCTTTCTGTTTTTGTTTGCACATGCAAATCAGCTGATCGTTTGACACTCTTCATGAACTTACAGGGAAAAAAACTCCGGACTAAATCCTGTAACTTCTGACTAGGAACAGTTGCTCAGTTACTCTCTCAAAAGTGTTCCCACTTACAGGTTTTATGTCAATAGGAACGACTTCCTGTAAGTTCTGATTAAATCCTGTAAACCGGACTGCTATTGGAACAGACTAATTTTAACGCTAATGACCCACAGATGGTGTAAAAACACAGGGTTGTATCATGAACGAAAGACACACGATCACGCCTTCCCGAAAGAAAGAAAAAAGTTATTTTCTAGCTGTAGAAATCTCGACGCCATCTTTGTTGTAAGAAGTAAACAACGAAGAGAACAAAACAAAAAACGCGTAATTGTTGAACGCATGAATAATCATTTTTATTATGCAAATTCTTCTATAAATCATGTCGTTGTGTTAAATTATTCTTTACCACCACCACCAAATTGTAAACAACGAACAAATGTAAACAAACGGCTAATGTCAAAGTCGCCCAACTTTTTTCCTAAATGCGATTATAACGGTCTACTAAGAAAAAGGCGTGATATTGTATTTTTGGTTCATGGGGTTGTATCAGACTTTCGACGTGGTTTCGAGTTGGTTAGCTTTTAACCATCTAAGCGAAATGGTTAACTGCTGTCATTTTTATATGGCGAAACTACGCTAAATCAAGTAGGGTTATCGGGATAACCAACTCAATGCCATAACTACGTGGTTAGTTCCGGTGGGGACATGGTATTACGATTATCCTCGAAGCCTTGAGCAAGAACCAAAAATATGTCTTTCGTTCATGGCCTTGAGGGACTTCCCAAATATCTCACGGCTCGTAACGCTGGATTGTTAAATAAATGCTCACGATGACCAAATTGTAGTACAATTAACTTTATTGTACAACAAACAATTTACAACGCTTTACAAAACTTGTTAACACAATTAAACTTGCTTATTCGCAACTCACTTTACTTGTAGCTTGCTGACTTGTAACTCTCTCACTCCGGTGTCTGGTGGCGCCCTTATATATCTGCGCTCGCACTCATGGCAACTCTAGAATGTTCTGAAGTTCATCGCTCATTCTCCTCATGGTTTATGAATACATAGATGAATTACGCTTAAAAATAAAATAGAGAAAAACCAACAGCTAGATTCCAACATTTGCTATCGCTAATTTTGATCAACATCTCCATACTGCCAGATCTGACTGATTAAACATTGCATGTGTTAGTTTCTCTCAGTTGTACACTTTTACGCACCACTACTTTTCATCTAGAACATTTTAGCGACACAAATTTAGCGTGGCGATTGTCAGAATGCAACTGCAGCAATATATCGAAATACATAAATTTTTGTTTTTGTAAATAAGGAGGTATCCATGGATGGGTAATTTTACGGAAATACGAGCAAAATCGGGGAAATTTCATTGTCGAAAAGCGAGGAATTCTCAAAAACAAGTTGGCTACTCTGATTCAAACGCTTTGGCTCGGCAACTCTACTCCAACTGTCATAATCAGCTGTAATTATGACTTCTTTGTTTACAAAACAACTTTTGTTTTGCTTGACTGAGTTTTATTGGGTTCTTATTTTGTTTTCGTTTACATGTTTTGGATATGCGCAGTAGAAGGCGAATAAAATTAACCCAGCTCGTACACAACACAGATTATGAATAAGTATATTATAAGCGTGCATTAAAGGGCTGCCAAAAAAAACAACAACAAATGCTCGAGGCTACAAAGGATTCATTCAGTGCCGTTCCTGGTTGTCGCAGATAATTCGCAATCACAGCTGCTGCAGCTTGTCGGTGCAAGATGTGCGGTGTCAGAGGCAAACGCTGTGGTGGTGACTGGCAATATGCATTCGTAAATACTTTCGTATGTTTTCAATTAGTTGACTGACTCGATGTTGGGCTGTATTCGTGCGTCTAAAAGTATACGGGAATCGTTTGCAGCAGTCAAAAAAGCAGAGTTTCGGTTAAGTTGAACGGAGACGGACTTTCGATTTTTGTCTCTTGTTTAGGAACTTTTTTAACTCTTAAATATAAGAAACTTTTGTATCATTCCGTACGATATTTTAAAACAGTGTGATTTCAATTTGCTAAAATGTATTTTGTAGCGAGATTATGATGATTTTTTATATGTGAAATCACTTAAGCATTGTAAAAAAGTGAAAAGTCCCCTTCCAATTTCATCACAACACTTGAGCATCGATTGAGATAAAATTGATTAGTTATTTGCTAAAAACTCTAGCAATATGTCACTAGCCAGCGCTGCAGGTATTTTGCTAAAGCCACAGACTCCACTACAGCAACTGCTTGAGGATATAAATTTTCAACGTACAAAGGAAATGCGACAATTGCTCAAAGATGGTAAGTATTATTATTATTATTATTTTTTTTAATTATTTGTTAAATTTGCGTGGTTAGTGCGTTTTACATTAACATATCTACGCCATGGAAAATTGTCTACATTCGTACTTTATCGATTTATCAAAAATTTCTTTATCCTGTGCCCCGATGTGCAATTGTTCTGTTGCTGTTGTGTACATATGATACTCGGAATTGTGTCTGCCCGAAAAAGGTGGCACACATATGTGCATGTATACCTAATCATTTTTTAAATTCGCATAGTTCCTACATCTATGTAATTGATCATTATATAACTACCTATGTGCATACATACCAACATCTACATGTTTGTATGTTTAGAAATTCATCGCCAAATGTTAAGGGTGCTTTTGTGTTTTCCATCCTATCGATCTGTTCAAGTAGCGCTCAACCGGCTTTTTTTATTATCTTTTATGCTGCTGATTCATAATATTACTTATTTTATATGCTTGAGGGTTCCTTGTTTGGATTTCGTTCTTATCTGTATACAAATATCAATAGAAAATATAGGTGGATGCATTTGAGCATTCATATCTGTGGACATTTGAAAGAACAACTTAAGTCTATCTTTCACGGGAAAACAAAAAATGATTTACCACCAAAAAGGAAAATGTTGTAATTCAAAAGAAATATAAACGTACATAACTATTTTCTTTACTATCCACAACCTTTTAAAATGTTTCTGTTTACAACTGTGTATTTTCATTTAAATAAAATGTATTGCTCGGGCGGTAAAAAGGGCTCTGTTGTTGTTCTTTCAAATGTCTACAGATATGTATAGGACTAATGTTAGTAGTTTTTGTTAACTTTAAGTTAGGTACATGGATTAAGCAAATATTTTTTTTTATGAACATTTAATAATATCCTCCAATTTTCAACAGACAGTGGTTTTGTGGTCCTCCAAGGTACTACATATTGGACAGATTTGTTTGTACGCCATTTCTTGTTTCAAACTGAACCCGTACATAGCATCGATTCAGATGATTTACTTTTCTTTGTTCGCAAAAAACACGTGAAAAGTTCCTCCCGACATATGCCAAAATATGAGGTAAGTTGTATTTAATGCAATACGATAGTCCTTTCGTAGATATCTCTAGAAACACTTCCTCGATACAAATTTAAATATGAAAAGCATTAGATATGTAATATAATTTATGTATTTAAAATGATCATTGTTCATTTAATTTTAAAGACAGAAGTTGATGTGTTTCGGAAGGACTCCAGAAAACTTCCGATTGGTGATCCGGATGTCGATTGGGAGGAAACTGTCTATCTCAATATGGTTATACATCAATTCGATTATACACTCACATTAGCAATTTGTACGCGCACATCGCCAAAGGAATTGCAGGTGTTGAGACGCCACTCACAACGCGTATACGCTAGTCCAAGTCGTCGGAAAATGGACACTAAAGGTGAAGGCGAGGAGATAACATACCCACATATTTGCTTTATGGTAGATAATTTCGATGAGGTAAACAATTGTGAATTACTTGAACAAAATTAGTATTGAAAATTTGCGCATTTTTTACAGGTTTTCAGCGACATCTTAGTGCGTGACGGTGAAATGGTTTGTGTGGAATTGGTGGCCAACGACAAAGATGGTTCTGTGCAGGGTGTAATATTTCTTGGTTCAATACGCTATGATGCCCTCAAAAAAGTGTACGATGCGAGGGTAAGTTCGTAACTTCGATAATGAAAAAATAATGTTTGAAATTATATTAATTTAAACAGCAATCAAGCCTCAGCTCTAAAGTTGCGCAACGCATGTCTTTTGGCCTATTTAGCAGTGGTGCGGGTGTGCAAACACGCTGTGAATTCGTTCGAATGAAGGGTCCACAGGGTAAAGGCCATGCCGAAATGGCTGTTACAAAGCCGAAAGGCTCAGGCGTGGAGACACCAACAAGTGAACCAGGGTGAGTAAAAAAGTATTATACGCATTTGTTCCCTTTTTTAATTGGGGTAGATTATTTAGATTATGAAACAAATATTTAGAGCTTATACTCTTGCTAAATGTTTGTCCAAGCCTCTCCCCCAAATTGTGACGTACGTCCTGATATTAAAGCCTACAATTTTAAGTTGCCTAAGGGCGGCAAATGGTTTAATGTGATGCTTTTTCAAGACAGAAATACACTCGGAGGTTTGCCATTGTCTGGCAACAGCTGTTAGAAACAACTAAATCAAAATTACTAAATCTATCGCGTTGCAAAATAAATAACATGCTGCTACGCCCGAAGCAAAACTTTGTGCAGGTTGTAGGGAGGGCCGGACATACATCAAAATATGTAAAATATGTTTCTTATAGTTCCTAAAACCTACACTTAAAAAAAATAGAAAAAAATGTATTTTCGTACTTGATTCATCAAAGGTGCAAATTATTCGGAAATATCTATAGTAAAAACTTTGATTTAACTTTCTACATTAACATTAACATTAGTACCAATTTTCAGCTTTAGTCGAAATTGTAAGTTTACACCTATTTATTGGATTAACTTGATTGGGCTACAAACAAATAAATTCTTCAATCGATTTCAATTTTATATATAAGTACATACAAACATATATATTCTAAATCTCAACCAAATCTGACCAATCGTCCACCCCTACCAAATTTTTTGTGTAGTTATTTCTTTCAGTAAAGGCAATATATTTACATATATTCCAATATAAACCAGGCACGGTAATCATTACGTGTAAAATATTTTAAATAAGCATTTAATCTTTATATTATGATTTTTTTCGCTTAAAAATAATAATTATTATTGAGTTTTATTTTTTCGCTCAACGGAAATAATTATTATTTGATTTTTATTTTTTCGATCACAAATATGATTATTTTATGATTTTTATTTTTTCGCACAGATTATTATTAAGTTTTATTTTTACACTTAAAAATAATGATATTTATAAAATTAAAAAGGTTATACAGACGCAACCAACTGAAATCTTGACCTGCAAATTTTGGGACTTATTCCTTTTCAATTCAATTGAAAGAATAAAACTCAATAATAACTGTTAAAAATAAAGTATTAATTATTATCTTTAATCTTTATTGGTTAAACTCGATAAATAAAAATCATTGTAAGTTACAATAGTATCGTTAAAATTGTTTTACGATGATTACAACTTGTCGTGTTTTTGGTTAAGATTTAAAAAATAATGATTATTTCCCTGATGCCAAATCGGACCATTTATGCGGCTTACGAACCCTGGCCCACCAATCGGCGAAATTTTTTATGTAATTATTTTTTTGAATAAAGGTAACATACATATTTACATATATGCCAAATATAAACCAAATCGGACCATATATACAGGCTTACGAACCCTGGCTCTCCTATCGGCAAAATTCCATGTAATTAGCATATATTCTAAACATAAGCTAAATGGACCATAGATTCTTCTTGTTTTCGAAATATATCCACCCCGCGTCACCAACCGGCTACATTTGTATGGCATACGATTTACTTAGTGATATTTGCTTGGCCTTATCGGATTTTCGCTGTCTCTTTTGGACTTAGCAAAGTTGCCTTTCTTTGAATGTAAACTAGAAAAAATAAAACCTTCTCAAAATGATGCATTTTTAGATTCTCTTGGTTCTTATATCAAAATATGAGTTTTCATAAGATTGCAACTTTCACTTTAAGTTAGTGATATGTGAAATGTATGTACGCCTGTGTTGAGGTTAAGATGTTATATGTAAGTGTGAACATCCAGATGGCCATTTTAAATATTTTGTATACGGTAATTTGTTTTAGTTTAAGCTTCTTTCAAAAGGCACTCTTTTCAATGGTCTAAATAAAAAATGTATGAAAATTCCAAATGAAATTAAATTTTCAAAAGGTATAGGAAAAATTCCTCTTACCATACTTTCTTAAAAATCGCACATCGTTATGGTTTACTTCTATCTTTTACAGATTTTGTGCAACAGATATGTGGGACGAGTGGGAGGAGGAAAATGATGACTACTGCACTTATCGTCATCAGCGGCGCCTAAGTGATCCCAGCGCTAATTTAAATAATTTCTCTAGGTACGCTTGGCGTACAAAAGGCGCACCTGATGCAGTCGGCGGTACAGCGGGCGCTAAGGCGCGTTCTGAAAACGAAGGGCTCGATTCGCTGGCAAATGAGGTGTCAGAGATTGAAGCTGGCGATTTACGTGATGGTAAGCACTAACATTTTAATAAATTTAGACTTTTGTATTCGTTTAACTACTCGAATTTTAAAAATACCTATTAGTGGTTAATAATAATGTGTCTTTATTTAACATTAATTTATCACGCCTTCTGTTTAAAGCGCTTATTGAATTGTACGTTAACTCAATGTTTTTGAAATGAGCGCTTACTACAACTGCGTGATAAATGCATATTTCATGTATTAGTTTATTTTGTAATTTTCTATAGACTTTCGTTATAGAGCTCATATCTCATTATCATTCGCTGCTATTTACAACACTTTCATCACACAATTTTACTCCTGCATGTTTTTAATAAATCGTCGTTTAAAGTAGAAAATCGCGTATCGTCGTTCCGCTCACACAGGCTCTTGGCTCAAGCCGTAAACCATTCGTCCTAAAATATACTCGCCAGATATGCGATTGCTTTATAAAAAAAGAGGATCATTTGAAATATGCGTGCTTTTACTCTCTAGGAAATAATTTATGCAACCTCACATACGCGGTTTTGCATTTTCTTGATACGCGGTTTTGTAATTTAAACGGCGAAATATGTACGTATGTAGAGATATATAAATCTTTTAACACTGTAATTCATGTTTCTAAACACAATCTTTGAAAAAAACAATTCTTTACTTTTATTACTTTCTATTGTCGACTATTTGGGTACACTGCGTATGAGCAACATGAGATTTTTACATATTGCGCATACGCAGCGCCCACCTTTACATTAGACCGTACCACGAAGTATGGGCCTAAAAAGTTCAATTTGCTCCAAGCGATTTTCAACACTCACTACGAATGGTATATAAGGAAAGTAAAGAAAAAATGTTTCGGTACACTGTTAAAACAGCAACATCGGTTATTTTTCTATAACTAGTATAAACCTAGTTGTATACATAGTACTATTAACATGTGTCATAAACTTTGCAAGTTAAGTTCTTTTTTTCTGAAAACGACGTCCTGTATGCATTATTATGTGTCAGAAAAATACTCTCCATGTCAAAACCCAGGAAAACAGGAGAAATATTTAATTTTCATTAAACAACCGCTAAGGTATTGTGAAAGGTTGCCAGCAGAGTGTTTGCTGGAAGAGGTGCTATGCTATAAAATGCATTTAAAGCTGTTGTTGTTTCGTATGTATTTTGTTGCATAACTTCGCCTCTAGAAAATATAAGTAACTATGTAATTAAACCAAAGACCGTCAAAGCCCGTGTCTTCGACTTCCGACCACAAACTAACCATGCCTCTGTAGCGCTCACCGTTGACCGAAATGGCGTTTCCAGCAGCATTTTCAAATGAAAATGGGCTAATGATGACACCGCTCCAAAATGCGCACCAAATTGTCACTCTCTGAGAATGCTTTGGTTTCTCAACTATCACGGGGCTTTCCGATCCCCAGATGCGGAAGTTTTGTTGGTTAACATAGCCTCCGAGATGAGACGGCGCTTCGACAGAGAAGATATTTTTTTGTAGCAAAATCTTTGTCCATTTCGTTTGCATTATTTCCCAACGTAGTTCAAGCGTAAAGGGATACATTTCGTTCCGAGGATTATCTGTTCAAATTTCCAGCAGGAAAGAGCTGCCACTGACAAAATAAAAAATTATTAACAAAAAACTACTATATTCAGGCAGGTTCTGCAATTCACTTCCGAGTGAAGTTCAACCAAAGCCACCTTGAATTTGAATTGAATGGAGTCAAAACTCACTCGGATTGAATTGCAGAACCTGCCTGATTGACCACCCGTTATATAGCCAAGGCGTTCTTAATCATGGGAGTGTCTTTTTAAGCTTCCTACACTAAAAAAAAAAACAATCAAGCAGGTTCTGGAATTCACTTTCGAGTGAATTTCAATTAAACTCGCTTTGAATTCAAATTGGCAGGGGTTGAAATTCACTCGGAAGTGAATTACAGAACCTGTCCGAATATCCTTTTTCAAGCTAAATCACATATCGCACACCTAGATCTAAAGTGAGCAAACTCAAAATTCATAAAGGAAAATATAATATATTAGATCAAGGTGTGCGGTATGATTTGGCGCCAAACGACCTTTTGTTTACTTCAAACAGATTTTATTTTGGATATATTACAGATGCTTTTTCGTAATTAGGGAAAAAAAATATCAAAAATTAGATGTGCCACCTAATAACATTCGGACCCTGCTGGAAGGTAACAAATAGTAGCAAGCATCTCTGCGCACTCAGCTGGAGCCACGACATGCAAGTGTGTTTTCAAATGTGCAATTTGCCAACAAAGCCAAATCACGCGATTGGTGCATTTGTACGGATGGATGACAGGTACAGGGTGGCGTTGGTTGGACATTTTTTTATTGAGCTGAATTGATTCTTAATAAAAATTTCTAGACAACCACACTGTGTGATTGGTCAAACAAGCTTTTCACAAATTACCGACGTCCGCTGTAATTCTGGGTAGAGCTTAAACATGGAATAACTTAAAATTACTCTGTTTGAAATAATCATGTTACTTGTTTCTTAGTATACTACTGATTACAAGGTGCCGTTTTCAAAAAAAATACAAAATATATATAAAAATCATGCACTCCTGAACTATTTTCATAGTTAGTGTTCAAAATCGCTTGGAACAAATTGCACTTTTGTGATACGGTGAAGTAAAGAGACTTGTACAGTTTTTTTTGTCTCACAGTAATGGGACGATAACACCGAAACTTTTTGCTTAAAAATTTGGGTCATTCCATTGAAAAGAGGAAAACGACATAAATTTAAATAGGCCCTAATTATCTCTATTTCAGTAGTAACCTCGTTTTAAATGACTACATTTCATTAACCTGTGGGAAAATATTAAAAAAAAATCAAAAGAAGTTGTAATTTCTGTCTATGAAAACTTTTATTTCATGCATAATTACTTTACAGCAGTCACAAGGAGATGTCCCACTAGTCACAACTTTAAATATTTTTTAATATTTCTATGAAGATTATATAAAACGTCATTTTTATTGGAAACGAAAGCTTGTTATTCATATTTTACAACACAAATACACCGTTTGTAAAAATTAAGTTGTTTGGCTAAAATTCATCTTTGAGTGCACAAGGGTAAAATAGAGTTCTTTTCAGTGTCCCACCATTCACATTCATTCAAATGATAGTTATATAAAAATAAGAAATCGTTTGGTATTTTTGTTAAAGCAATTTTTTACATTAGTTATCATTCTATGTTAAAAAAATATCTTTCGCTGTTGCATAAGTTTCGACGACATAGTTACAATTCACAATTGATCACATTCTGGAGTAAAATGTCCCAGTAGTCACAATGGAATGGCCCATTTAACAACAGCAATAAACTTTTTTTTGTAAACTTTTGTACTGGGGTTTAGCTACCTCAGACATTGGAATTAAAGGCGAAATTTTTAATTATCCTTTATGCCTTTATAATTTCAATAACGCAAGATTAATTTTTTAAGAGACGCGAAAATTAAAATTTTCAGTTTTTATGCTCATTTGCCACAGCAGCTCCAACGCAGCAAATAAAAAGATATTTTCGGCTCATAAAAATTCCCTCAAATCTATTGGAATGTTTTTAATGCTGTAGAGCTAACTCACATTCGGAAATAAACTATCGTTTTTCAGCGCAAAAATTGTATATTAGCTGCTGAATATAAGTTAAGCCTCGGGTACTGATTTGAAATGCGTTTATCGACCTATCACTAAACAAACTACATACATATATTTACACTTATGCTCTTCTATAAACACTTTCTTTGAACTTACTTACCTATGTACATTTAATAAATTCTTAAAAGTTACATTTTATTTAATTTCGTATAAGTATTTAACTAATTCAATTTCGCTTGCCTTTTTTTCATATCCCACCCATCCTTTTCTTGTTAATGTAACGTATTGCTTGCTATACTTCGTCAAATATTTTATTTCCGTTTATAATTTGATCCAATCAAAGAGTTAAATTTATCACAAAACAAAGCTCTTCCACTACAAAATTAGCATACAACTGCTAAGCAAAGCAAAAAAGTGTATCACAGCAAATGACTAGATTGCCGAGAAAGCAGGACTTGAAATACACACATTTATTTCATTTGTACAATTTTTACAATGCTCATTACATTACTTGACTCTACTTCAAAATCGTAACGCATATTTTACAATATTTTATAATTTTTGTTTATCTGTTAAATTTGTAGCTCCTCCGGTGTGTGCAGTCCCCTGTTTTTAGTTAAAAGAATAGTAGAGACTAAGTATTATTGATGAATACATTTGTAATTAAATACAAACGCAATTTTGTCATTTCAAGTGCATACATGCCATTTACTATTAAACATAAACTAAAATTTTTTTGGTATTTGAGGGGCGGTAATCCAAACTCGAGTGGAAATCTGACAAAATAAATTTCTAAAACGTAGATACGAACTTTGGTTGGTAGCGGTGACCTAAATATATCAATTAATTATAATAGTAACAATATTCTGGTGCTAACAATTTTGCAAAGCTTCTCCTCCTATTCGTGGTATGCGCCCTGATGATATTCTTATTACACAAATAAAGGGCCTACTATTTAGAAAGCTTTATCAGGGCAGAAATACACTCGGAGGTTTGTTTTAGATTGCCTGCCGAGGTGCGATCGCTATTAGAAAAACAATTGGCTAATATAGATCTTGCTCGGACCAGGTATCGAACCCAGGTACCACGGAGTGGTAGTACGCACCGCTAACTACTTAGTGACAGCGGCGTCTCCCTTAACAGACCTAGACAAATTGTGATCAGGAAATGAAGGTTTGTTGCCAAAAGTACTGGATTCGTTACAAGATATTGCTAGGTTAGGTTGGAATGGCTTGAGAGAGTGAGTCCTCCTACACTTAGGCCAATGACAGGCCCATTGTGATGCCAAATGCACTCTTCGTTCCCCTGTGATGTTGCGACGCTAACTCGGGATCAAACCATTTCATTGACGTAATGAACTTCGGCATTAGTCTAATATTAATTTCCGCTATCTCTGCACGATCTTGTAGAGAGGGCAGGCCTAGCAGTTTCACAGAAAGAGAGATTTCTCCAGCGTTCGATTACTGCTTGCGTGGTGCTGTTCCTAACATCTAGTTTGAAAGTGTTCTTCCCCGGAAGGTTGGAAGCGGTCGTACCATTCCTGACCAATTCGTCACCTTTGCTGTTGCTCTGAATATCTCGATGTCCAGGCACCTATATGAGTTGTATTCTATAATGCTGTGCCAAATCGTTAAGATATCTGCGGCGTTCACTGGGAGACTTTGTGTTGTCTATGCATGAGTCTAGAGCTTTCAGGGCTGCTTGATTTGTCAAAGAAGATAGAGACCTGTATTTTTTCATTGGGTCCAAGTGGCCTCCTCGATAGCCAAAAATTCCGCGTAATACACACTGCAGTGGTCGGATAGCCCAAAAGATATTTCTAGTTCCAGCTCCGGGAGAAAACTCCTCCCTCGACCTGTCCGTCGAGTATGTGTATGGGCGCCCTTGTTCTACGATTTACGAGTGGCGGGATGTACCATGAGTCCAGTACCTTGGCCCTCAGAATCTTAAGGCTGCAATCGCGTTAAGTACATAGCTCCGCACTCCTTTATACCCTTTTGAATTATGCGCGGTTGTCTTACTAAGCGTAAGCCACCATACTAGGGCTCCGTAATCAGACGAAAAATGTCAGTGTAGATTCAGTGAACTATGCTCTGGCTTTCTTGATGCGTTCCATTGTGTTATCGTTCCACAGCAGTTTGCTGTCGAGAATTATTCCAAGATACTTGGCAGTACGTTTTAATTCCAGGCTTGAGCCATAAAGTTTAGGGGGTCTAAGAGCCGCAACGTCATCGGCATATACGACAACCTCATATTCATCCGCCTCCATTCGCCGCAACAGTTGGTTCACGGTAACTACCCATAGAAGTGCAGAAGGAGTGGAGTGCCCCTCCTGATAGACCTGTGAATCGCCTGTCGATCAATTCTGAGCTCATCAAGCTACTGGTGAGCAATTGGTGGATGATCCTCACGAGAGTTTTATTCACCCATAAGATCGATTTCTCACCTTTTGAGACTAGCGAGTGGAAAAAGTCTCCGTAGATTTGTCCTTGCTGTAGGCATGCTGCGCATTAGATAAAAGAGCTGGGTTAACGATTGTCTTTTAGTCTCCAAAAGTCTTTCCAGAGTCTTAAGTAAAAAGAGGTAAGGCTAATAGGCCTAAAATCGTCAGGTTTGGAAGAGGCTCTGCCTGCTTTTCGATCCTTAATCAGCTGGAGAAGATGGTTTTAGCCATGGGTTTGTAAGTTTCATGGTATGTTGTCGCTGGCCCGGATATATACCATCTGGTCCTGGCGGCTTATAGGACATGAAATTAGATAAGCCCAACAGTTTTCCTGTCACTTATGATTTCGCTGATAAACTGTGGTGTAGCTTCGGCTGATTCTGAATCATACAATGTGTCATCAGTACAAGAAATATTCGTTTGAATATAGCTGGGTACCGTAGGTGAGTTTTCGAGTACCTACCTTTCACGTCAATCAAGGTTATTTAGATCCGAGGACCACAAGGGAGGTTTGTACGCTTGCTTTGTTTTCCTCTTGGAATATGCTTTAGTTAGTGCTGTATCGCAACTCTCAACAAAAACACTAACTAATAACATGGCTCAGAAGGTAGATTCTTGTATACAATTTTTCTATAATACCCCCAATCAGTTCTTCTGAAATTTTGTATCTCTTTAGAAACGGGGGTATGTTAAATTCTATTATCCTGTGGTCCGAGAAAAAGTCCTCTTCCAGGACCTTCCACCCCGAGATCCGATCACTGAAAAATTCACTTACGAGGGAAAAGTCAAGAGCTTCCCTGTGATTGGTTTTGAAAAACGTAGCGCCACTTCGCTTATTGCAGATAGACTCCCGTACTGTTGTTGAGGTTTTTGGCTTGTTTTTATTGTCCATAATCTGGTCCCACGAGACGCAGAGAAAGGGGAACGTCAGCCCGGACAGAGATCCGCTGTACCCGGGTAAGGCTAGTTGGATCCGAAGGTTACCGGGTATCCGGAGCACTCCGCTCACGACTGGACTAGGTGAAGGGCCCCAGCCAGGCTGATCCTCGGCACGGGTCAGATGATACCTTTATCCGGTCCTGAAAAAAGAGGGAAGGGGAAAGCTGGCAGGGATTTAGGTCTGAAGGAAAGCATGGGTAATGAGATTTAAGGGGGTCGTGAGGGCGTAACCAGGTGTCACCACCGGGAGGCCTATTGTACTGGGGGGTGCTAATAGCAACGCAATTGAACACCTACGAGTCGACATTACGGGATGTCGCGTGTGTGCAAATCGATCACCCCCATAAAAGACACTACTCACGGAAAAAAGGAGTTGTAATTTTTTCGCATCATAAAATTATTCTTTGTAACTGTTCGAAGTGTTTTTTGTCTGTAGCTGTTGACCGAGACTATATGAAAATTGGTTTTCAGATCAGGCCAATCTGTCTGGCTTGTTAGTCAGTTAGTCGTTCAAACCCGCTATCCATGGTACGTGACATTCTTACTCGTCTGTAACTTTGTTTACTAGGAGTGCAAATTTTGTTCTTTTCCCAGTTTTCCAGGGCCAGCTGGCCCTTTTAGAACCAACTGACATATTTCTAAATCATTTTACCTGTCTAAAATCAATCCTCCTTTTATTTCTTAACTGATGCATTACAAAACTGTTTGGTTTTTAAGATTATTAAATGCTCTGGACACCTACAAAAAAACCTGTAAATCGGCCTGCCTTCCCACCGATTATTCGTTTTTTTCTCCTTTTCTCCTCCAACGCTGACCACTAGCGTCTATCCTATTTCCATTTACTCTGCATATTCTCTTCGCATTGCCGACAATTAATTTTAATACATTCTACTGCTCCTTTATTTCCGCTTTTATTCTTTTACACTAAGTTTACTTTAAATTTCTATTACTCTATTACTTTACGTTATTTTCACTCTATAGACGGCTCTTATGATTTTTTAAAGTTATTCAAAACGATGCCAACGATCTATATTTCATTGTAGATCTGCGTCCTGCTTTCTCGGCATCCGAGGCAAAACTCCATCTCAATCCGAATTGTGAAGCAGCTAACGCGGCTGTGGTTAAGCTTCCGATTTCACCTGAAAACGAAGTAAAACTTAGCGCTCAGCAGCAAGCGGCAGATGTTGTAGACGGCAGTGTGCCCGTGGCTGAAGCTGTGGAAGCCACTGCGGCAACGATCACCTCGCCAACCTCCAATACGAGCACAACGGGTTGCAGCAACTGTTTCGGCGGCAAAAAGTGCAAACGTTGGGTGGGTGCGTCAAGCGATAAGAACACGCCTCAAATGTCGGAAGTGTATTGTCCGACATGCGACGATGCGGCCAACGAGACTCCAGCTTGTCTCAGCAAAATGCCCGACAAAAAGTCAAAGCCAAAACACAGAACCATATTAAGTGTGGAAAGCGAACTTATTGTGACCAAGCGAGGAAGTCTCCGGTTGACCGCCGGGGGTGGAGAGAAGAAAGGTGTGGTACGTAGCGCCTCTCTTAGTGCAGCTGATCGTAAGGTAAAGCGCACAGCTAGTCCAGCTCAAAAGAAAGAAAAGGAAAAGGAAAAAGAAAAGGACAAGCATAAGGTTAGAGAGAAAGATAAGGATAAGAGCAAAGCTTCTACTTTACTTGCCAAGGTTTCACCCAAACGAATCAAGTCTAAAACGGGCGCTGCCGCTTCAACAAAAACCAAGAACAATAATGACCAAAAAGATACAAAGAAAACTCAGTTGCCAAAAGAAAGCAACAGTAATAACAACAGGATAGAAAAACAAGAAGCCACATCGTTGAAAGCCGAAGAATATGAATTAGCCGACGACGCAACTTCATTGAATGGCACAACAGTTGAGCAGAGCGAGGCCAAAATGGCCATACTAAGCGAGAAAGACACAAAGTTGATGATAAATGTGCGCGGCCGTGAGGAACTGCCCGTTGTAGAGCAGCGCTCGCCGCCAAACACAGCCGAGTCAGTTGCTTCCGGCAGTGACGACAGCAACACGACCAGCAGCAACAAAAATAGTCCATACTGTTTCGAGAAGTGTGTACGTGTACCTGTAAAATCAGAATGCCATCCATTGCAGCAGCAGTCGAGTCAGAAGACGCCTAGTGCAGCTGCTGCTGAAACTTTTGATAATAAGCGAGACAATAGCATGTCGTCGACTACTGCGACAACCTCAACGACAACAAAGGCAACAAAAGCAACTAAAGTCACAGCCCTACAGCTTGAAACGCAGACTGAGACCGTGAACAGTGACTGTAATGGCAACTGCCACCTGATATCGCCACCAGCCACATCGAGTGCGCAGCGTTCGCCTATTTCACCTCCGCCAGCGGTGTCGGCTGCGGGCAGCGTCGAAAACGGTAGTGTGAGCGATGGAGGCGGTGGTGGCGGCGCTGGTAGCGGCAGTGAAAATGGTCATACCAATGCAACTTTACCACGAGCAAAACGCAGCAGTGCTCAACACGCATTCTATCATCGTGCTCTGAGTTTGGTGCCAAAGCGTAGGACGCCCGACGGCACGAACATTTATTATTGGTGCGATTTGCCGCGAAAAGCGCTTAAAGGTTTGTTGTATGTTGTTTTTTGTGTGAAGGGAGCTCGGCAAATTTTGCGAAGCACATACACAGTGTTGCAGTTCGCCAGAAGATCATTCGTTTTATTATATGTATAAGTACATGCTAGTAATGCCACTTTAAACTGAACCGAAAATTGTTTATTTAATTGTAGAGTTGGACGACGGCGCTTACAATCCACTCTGGGCAAGTCGTGGTTTCACGCAAACATTTCACTTTTGGAAGGAAAATCGACGTCAACAGTCCACACCGCTCAACGCATTCCTCACCTATGTGACACTGCCTTGGTGGAGCATTGCTAAGGGTAAACGCATAGCATATCGTCTGTTTTATGAAGAGAACACGCTAACGAATACATTTCTTTTACTTTGCAGATCTTCTGGATCATCGTGAAACGCCTATACTAACCTTTTAGTATTAAATTAGCCATTTTTATTTGCTTACTTCTATTTATTTCAATATACTTATTTAAAACATTATATTTATTAATATACCTGTATTTACATTTTTATTTATTAATGATTTTTATTAAGTTTATTACTTTATTTTATTTTTTTATTTTTTTTCACTCGATTTGCAATGCGAATTTTTAATCAATGTCACTCAAATGTTCTGCAATTTGTATTTTATTTTAATTGTGATACATTACTCTGTTTTATATAATTCAATTTATGTGATTTGTCTTGATATTTATGTGTGCTAATTTATTTTAATTACATGCTTCACTGATTGTATTTGTATTTTTGAAAACATTTTTTAAAAATCGATTATTTTACATAAAAACACACGTCCCCAATCATAGCAAAAAACTAAGGGAACAAACTGATATTATTGATTCCTACACGCAAACACTATACAAACGGATAACTTTTAGAAATAAATGACATTACGAAATACATACCTACAAACATTATAACAAAATGTTAGCCAAAAACCCTTTAATGCCGATTGCCATATAGAAAATAGCGCAAGCCGTTATATGTACATACATACATTCATATCGTCACCCTTATGCCAGAAGCATGAATGTGCAAATTTATCAGTTTGGAGCTATTGGGTTGACTTCATTAACCTTTCGATGTTTTATGTTATACCAAAATCCAGAATACCATGTGTACACGGAAACTCCATATTTTACAATTTCAATTGCATAAATGTAGAGTTAAGTCCAGTAAAAAAAACCTTCAAACTTGATTTCCCAGAATTTTAAATTTTACGCATTCATGTTTCTGGCATACGGGCATGTACATTCAAAGGAAAGCGTGTCAAAATTAATATACACAACTTTTTTATTTCGAACGCTAAGTACTCAATACAAGCTTTTACAATTCCAATTCAATTGAGAAACGATTTTGAGAGCTACAGATTGAGTGAATTAAACAAAAAATAAAATCAATGTTTCTTTTTTATTAATAGCACATGTATACAAAAATTACTTAACTGCATGAATAGAAATTTTTGCAACTATGAAAGTAGTTGCTAATCGTATGTTATTTTGTATGTATGTCTGGCATATTTGCAAGTGTAGTAGCGTTAACTAATACATATACATGCATAGCTGAAAGAAAGTCATAAAAAAATTAAATAAAAAAATATATTCATTCACAAATTTAGAATCTAACTAAAGGAATGTTATACAAAAATTGTCATATACGAATTATACATACATACAAATTTAAAAATAAAGTCAAAGTTATGAAAAATCTTATCAAATAGTATGGTATGAATAGAAATGTAATGTATGTATGTATTGAAAAATAAGTAAGTGTTTTAAGTATTACGTATTTGAAAAGTGCGGCGAAAATTCGAAAAAAAAAGTTTCTGGGTAGGGTTTTTCATCACTGAGTTGGCTAGAGGGATCCTCTAACTCAGGAGTTCTTAAACTTTTAAGATGATGGAACCCTTACAAATTACCTTTCACTTCATGGAACCCCATATCAAATTACTAAAAATCGAAGGCAGTGCCATTTAAATATGAATAAAAACTTTTACTAGAAATAGTATACATACTTTATATTTTAATGTGAAGAATAAAATTGTTTCACTGTTAACTATTGTATAAAATAGTAGTTCGATATAATGTCTGAATGTCCAAAACGATATTACTACTACCGTCCGAAAAATAATCTAAGATTCTAGGTGATTTACCAATTGCCTAGTTATGACATTTCACATTACATTTGGCAATTCATCGCGTTCGTTGTAGAAATTTTTATATAATTCTTTGGCTACAGCGGCCAACAACACATACCGGTTAGGAAAAAACAAGGTAGCAAACCATATATGTAATACTTCTATATTGGCAGTAAGCTAACTTCTCAATGTGTAAGCACTCCGAAATCAAAGCGAGACAGTCTAGTACAATTTTTGTCAATGTATTGTGTACTTGAGTGCCGTTTTTGTATATGTGTTGTGTACATGTTTATTTATAAACGTATGTGTTCCTTTTCTTTCGTAAGTGTTTATTGATATATCTGTACTGTAGTGTTTTCGGACGGTACTAGCTCTTACTGCCAATATAGGAGTATTACATATATATAGCAAACGCAAGCTCAACGCTCTCATGTACATAGGTATGGCACTCAGTACGGCAATCATACCAACTGCAAGTACATATGTATGTATACTTGAAAATAGATAATTGCGTCTCGGTCAAGCTGTTTATAGAACTTTTCTTTCTTTGTGCAACTCAAACCGATCCCCGTGATTACTGATCTCGCGGAACTTTTCTACGGAACCCTTGGGTTCCGCGGAACACAGTTTAAGAAGCTCTGCTCTAACTTGGGGTTTACATAGGAAAACTTTGCGAAGACAACAGGAATACATGCACACTTTATACTAATCCATTCACACTTCTCTCATTCAGCCCTATTGCATACGTGGTAAATTAAACTAAATTCTACGACTCAATAACATTGGCATTCAGCCTCATTGCGTAAGTCGTAAATTAACTCGGCAACATTGGCATTGTCTACTGTCGTGCAGAAATAAGTAAACGACCGAAATCGTCGAAAAGTATCTAGTGCTGCCCAGTTGTTCTGTCTAGTCGAGTCGAAATGTTTGGCAATGACTTGGAATTTTCGATACGACTCGACTTTCGAAAAACGACTTGCACTCTACACGGCACTCGCAACGAGGCTGATTACACAGGCCAACCGAAAGTCCTCGGAGTTACCTTCGACAGACTGCTCTCCTTCTCGGCGCACACAACCGCAATTGTTAATTAAGTACAGAGCCGCAACAAGGTCCTCAGGTCGCTAGTTCACAGCACCTGGGGCAAAGGAAAAGAAACGTTGCTGGCAACATTCGAGGCAATTAGCCGGTCGGTTCTGAACTACACAACGCCCGTGGGTTCCCCGGGGACCAGTAGGACGCAGTGGACGAAGCTACAGGCAACCGAAAACACGGCACTGCGTACAGCGAACGGATGCCATCTGATGTCGCCACAACATCACCCACATGACGAGGTGCAAATTCTACCCGTTAGGGAGCACAATACAAAGCTATGAAAGCAATTCTTAGTAAGGAGCCACCGACGTGGGCACCGGAACAGATACTTGCTTGCAGCGGAGCCCTCACCAAAAATCTCGTCAAAAAGCATCTATACGAACTGACGGACGTAATCCAGAGGTTCATAAAGCAATTTCTGGACCCGACCGCATATCGACAGGGCTTGAGCGGCATTCACATGGAGTCGATCTCGAGCTACGTAGACTCCCGACCTGCGAATGCCGTTTTGAGCACATAACCATCTTACGTGGACGAGACGGAGCTTCGACTACCTCGGGAGACTCGGACCACAATAGCCCAACTTCGCTCTGGCTATTGCAGCAGGTTGAACTCGTACCTGAGCAGACTAGGTACGGATGTGGCAAATGAGTTTCCGGCATGCGGAGAGACACCCCATTACTCGAAACCTCTTCGCATACCCACAAATACCCACTCAACTCAACTGACGCCTCTGTCTTTGTGGACAGACCCTTGGGTCTCCCGTTGGTTGAGCTTGACAACGATTGAGGGATTAGTCGAGTTGCTGTAGCCGCTACAAAGACAACAAGAAATGCACCATTAGCTTTGCTTTGTAAGAAAAAAATAAAACTTAGAAAGTAACTTTTATTTATGTACTAAGCAAAACTCAAAAATATATTTTGTTTTCTAAGCAATAACTAAAACTCAAAATTATTCTCCGAGCAAAAACAACCTCAAAAAACTAGTATCTGCTGAGTTAAGAAAATCTTCGAATTGAGAAGAGTATTTTTGCATTTCGTGCAATCCCTGCAACGTGCAAGACTTCGAGAATACCCATATGGCCATACTACCTTATGTGGGATTTCCACTAGGCATTAAATGGCGAAAATGACAAATGACAAAAATAATCGCGTCATTGGGCACGTGCAGAAGGCGCAACAGCTCAGTAACTGTTGCGATTGCACCTTCTGAACGCGTTGTTTTGTACTTCTGATCAACTGAACAGTTGCGTGTTAGATGATCGTAAAATTTTTCTGATCATTTGAGACAACGTGTTGTGTGTTTTGAATTTGACAGCTAATGTATCAAGCCGTTCAGAAGACGCATTGCGATCATTGATTTTTTTAGCAACGGTTGCGCTCAACTTCTGCACCTTCTGAACCTACCCATTACGTTAACCAAATTGTCATTAAGTTCATTTCCACATGGCATTTTTTAAATAACATACATTTCAATGCTTAGTGGAAATACGGCATAAGTTTGCAATTTTTTTAATGAAAAAGGGGTTTAAACTCATATCGGACCGAAATTACCCCTTTTTGGAAAGTCTGAATGAAATGGCATTTCGAAGGTCGCTAGAGGGTTAAAATCCTCTAGAAAATTATTCGGTGTAAAATTTCTCAAGACAAAATCTTTATACAAAGAACGTAAAAGTCCACACAAAAAAAGGAAATATGAGCCCTAGAAATATGCAACCATTTCGTTATCCTTTCTTTTATATTTTGTTCATAAATATATCGTCAGCTGAAATGCAAAAAGACGTTACAAACATCATCATTGAAATGCAAAACGTCACAACTAATAAACAATTTAAAATTCACTTTTAGATTTATATGATGGATTTCATCGAATTACAACTCCCCACATCATTTTATGAAAACAAAAAATTAAAATATGCTTCTTATTTGGCGCTGTAACCGCCTAAGCGATTTTGGCCGAAAAAAATATTAGTCACGACTTTTTCCATTTCATTTACGATGTGGTTACGTCTTTGTGCAAGTCAGGTGACGATATGTACATAAGTCTAGCATTTTTCGAGGGTGATGGTTCGGGGTTTGAGTTATAAGCAGGGAACGGATTTTTAGGACCTAAAAAGCTATAAAAAAGGCAAAATAAAATAACGAAATAGGCTGGAAAAGGCAAAACAAAATAACGAAATAGGCTGGAAAAGGCAAAATAAAATAGCGAAAAGGGCTAGAAAAGGCACTAGGTATTGCAAAAAAAGCAAAATAAGGCACTAAAAAAGGACAGAAAATACGAAGAACAATCAAAAAATACATTTATTTTAGAAATGTTTATATTACAAGTAAAAAGAGAAAAACTATGAACTAGTTTCATTATATGAAAAATTTGTACTTTTAATCTTTGACTATTTTATCCTTTCGAGTTTCTAACTCATAAAACTTTAATCTGTATAGTTGTAGTAACATTGAACCACAAGATGCATTTTGAAGTTTTCTGGCAGCATTTCATTAGATTTTCGCGAAGAAAAGCCTTGAATGTACTAAATGTGCGCTCGACGTAAGTTGATACAATCTAAATATGGAAGTTTGAAACGTTCATATTATCAGGAATAAGGGCGTTTTCCTCGCCCTTTACAATTTTATCCACACCCCTTATTGTCCCAAGCCTACGTTAGCTGAGAAAACGGCTTTGAATTTTTCCAACCCCAATTTGGCAAGAGGTCCCTGCGCTTCTATTATCCGCATGGGCATGTGTATATTTTTTAATCTTAAAAAAATAAAAATTGTAAATCGATGGCTAAGTGGAAGATCGACCTATCTCGGCAGCCAGTTCGAAAACGCTCTGTCTCAAAAAACTTTTCAAGAACGCCCTATTTCAGAATTTAATTGAAAAACACCGTGTCTCAAAATTCGGTTCAAAAACGCCCTATCTCACTACAAAATGTATTGAAAATATGCTGATATAGGGCGTTTTTGAATCGGCAGCTGAGATAGGGCGTTTTTGAAACGAATTCTGAAATAGGGCGTTCTTGAAAAGTTTTTTGATATAGAGCGTTTTCGAACTGGCTGCCGAGATAGGTCGATCTTCCACTCAGCCATCGAAATGCTATAATCACTTTTTTAAAGGTAGAAAAGGCAAAAAAAATCAATTATCTTAAAAGAGGCCAAAAAAGGCAAATATTTAAAAAAAAAGGCAACATCAAATGTGTATATATGGAATCAGGGAAAGCTAAATCGTGGAGATTCTTAATCGAATATACTTTATCTCTTTAGCAGAAAAAAAGGCAATTTCCATAAAATCCGTTCCCTGGTCATAAGTATCGTAATCATCCGATATATGTGACTCCGTTACTGGCACTACTGCTTCCTACCTCTAATTCTTCATGATTAGAATCGTCGAACACAAGCACCACCAGAAGAAAAAATATGTATCCCTGAAATATGCAACAACTTTTTACAAGCTTTTATTTAACTTCACTTGTATGTATGTATGTATCTTTGTATGTCCTGGAACTTTGCAGTCAATATTTAACAAACTTCCCGATGAGCTACAGACTTGAAACTTCAATCTTAGCTCAGAACTCGAGGGCAATGCAATGTAAAAGATGACTTAATACGCCAGGTGGCGCAGGAGTCGAGATATTTTTAAAACCCGCATTTATAGTCTGATTTGGTTCATATTTATAACATATATTACTTGTATGAAAAGAAATAAATCCACAAAAAAATTTTATGATAGGTGGCGCAGGAGTCGAGATATTTGTAAATACCATGTTTATGATCCGATTAAGTTCACATTTAGAATGCATATTGCTTACATAAAAAAAAAATAACTACACAAAAAATTTTGGCAGTTATGTGTGTGTGAGTCTATATAATTAAAAAAAATCGGCATCTGTGCTCCGATTTAGTTTATATTCAGAATATGTGTATTACCTATTTAAGTTGAAACATATTGAAAATTTTGTTTGTTACGGTCAAATCTAGCACGTTAGGTAAAAAATTTAGCTAAAAAGCAGGTCGCGGAAAATTTTGGCCGCGAACGATTAATAGTACGACCTTCTCATATTAGCTCGTTTTGCGATTGTATTTTACCGCTGTAAATACTTAAGAAAACGGTCGTGAGCGAAAACATTTTCGCCTGTATGCACGCGCAAATACAGATTAAGGTGGTGACTTACTAATAGCATAGACAGACGGCAACGTTAATCCGGATTAACGCCGCAATTGATCTGATCAAAATTGTGCCTTGACATACGGCAGTAACGCGGATTAACGAGCCGCGAGGTCGCAGGTTCGAATCCCAGCCGGGTGAAGTGTAAGTTGCTGGTAAGGTATTGCCCTTCACCTGGTGATCCTTACCTCTTCCGTGCCGAATCTCCATTACTTTAACAAAGAAGTGGCCGCCTTATGTAAGTAGGAATTAAGAATGTACATTTGGTATCAGACATACCTCTAAGCCGCTTTACAAAGTAAGTTACGCAAAATGCAGAGCAGTCGCTCGGAGTAGTTCGGCGCTTGGAAATAACTTCGGCTGCACGTTATTTTGCAACTGACAACGTAATGTGTCGTCGGTGTTCATTTTGCGCTTTACTAAATAGTAGATGACATTGGCCATGATGACAATTTTGGCACTAAAAACTGAAAGAAAACATGGCTTACCTCGTAAGGTGCTTACCTATTTTCCCAGTGGGTTATGAATTTAAATCCTTTTCCACTTATTCTAGAAACACTCAGGCAAAAAATTCCAAACTTAATATGGCCATAAAAAAATTTTACCTGATAATGCAAAAGGGGAGTTTTACTATATGGGTCAAGTTTTTCCATCCTGAGTTGGAATCATTCCGCCCCAAAAACGCTGTTGCACTGTGTAATCATTAAAAACTAATTTTTTAATAAAAATTATAACCGTTACGGTCCGTGCTTAAATGTAAGGACTGTGGCCCGCCCTTCATGCTTAATCCTACTTTTTATTATTAAAATGTTCTTTCAGCAAACGAGTGATTTGTATGTCTTTAATTTTTTCCCCCCATTAGCAGCCACTCGCTTTTAAAACCCATGTTCCGGGCTTATCGGTATTAAATTTGATCCCAAGGGTCAAACAATAATCTGTTATACATCCATGCATACGTAAGTATGTGAATGGATGTGTGTGTACTATGTACATTCTTGAAATCCCTTTACAAATAATTTTTTTTTATAATTTACATAATGATCAATAAAACTAGGCTCATCACCATGTTTGCATACTGTTATACTACGTAGTCTTCAAACTGTTTTTATATGCAGAGTTGCGGTCCATTGCAACCATATACATTGCATATTTTAAACATTCAATATAGCAATGAAAAATTTTTCTGAATTTTCCATTTATAAAGCACAATTTTTAACCAATAACAAACGAAACATCAACTTTGTTTCTGATGCGCTGATTGCCCTAGCGATGCGTTTCGATAACTTTTCGGATGCGTTTTGCAATGCGTATACATTGTCAATATTTTGTAGTTCGACGTTATCATTATACTTTGTACGTATGCATAGCAATTGACGTTTTGGAAGTCAGCCATAACTATAACTCAAAAAAGTTAATTAAAGTGAATACTCTTTTAATAAAGGCTTATACATGAGAAAAAGGCTTACACGCTTTCGTAAACAGCACATATATTCATATATTTACCACAAATCTCGAATAAACGTATGCATGTACGTATTGCTCTTATCAACGCCATCTCTTTATTCCAGTAGCATCTTCGTTATAGAAGCGCATATATATACATAAGTAACCGCTCCAATAAATTATGTTATCAGCAATTCTTATACATACATATGTACTTCATATGTCTATCTGTCTATGTTCGCATACAATGACCGCTTCAAGTGCATGCATATTTATACTTACATACGCACTAATGAATACAGCATCGGCCATCTTCCAGTCCCAGATGACGGATCATCTTTGCTCATACTCATCTCCAAGGCATTCAGTCTGAGCGCATACACCGAATGGTGCAGAAGCATTTAATCAAAGCTTGAGAATCACATAATATCTAGTAACCGTTTAACGCGTTAAGCGTGACCACCGCTTATAGCTTTCAAAGTGAAGTGTAGATGATACCTCATTACTATTTTCAGTCGCATCTGCGGTGTTCTTAAAGAAAACGTGAAAGCTTTTTGCAAGTAAATATTTTAACAGTTGTATATGTATGTACTTTAGAATTCACACGAAATAAATAAAACTAAATAAGTGATTCACAACATAGCAGCATACAAACAATTAAATATTAATGTATACATGCATGTAAATGCCTGTGTGGAAAAAATTGAACGAGAAAAATAACGTATGAAAATGAAGTGCCATTTGTTCACCAAGTGTGCCTTGACAGTTTTACTGCTGTGTTTAGTGGCAATTCAATTGGCGGCATGTTGTTCTCGTGCACCAACACACCTACCTCACGGAAGACGTTCACGCGGCGACAATGGATACAGACTAATAGTTGCTGAGGGCCCCAACGGCTATGTGCCGGGGGAAACTTATAACGGTAAGATGAAAATGTTTGTTTGTAACTTTATGACATTTTATATCGACAATTAAAATGATCTGAGCTTTTGGTTGTCAATGTCATGCTCTTCATTACATACTTTTATTAAGTTAAAAAAAAAACCAACACATTGTAAATAATATTTTAAAAATAAATTCATTTCTCTACTTAGAACTAAAATACTGAACTTTTTCATGCACTTAAATAATATTCATTTAATCGTGAAAATCATATATGACTGAGCTTAGTTACCGCTACAAACCGATAGATGTTGCTTCATTTGAGTGGCTGTGGGTAAAAACACTTCACATGTCCGGCAGGTGTAGTCCCAATGAAAGGAATCTTGACGGTGTTTTTGTAAATCCGTCGGCGTATCGAAAAGTCGATTGCATAGGCCACAAACTATAGGATATTGGTGCTCATGCCAGTCTAAATCTGCTGCATTAGAGCATAACTTTCCACACTTTTCGCATTGAAGCAAGTGCTTGCTGCGCACATGGTACTCCAAACTCGCAGCGTTTTCAAATTTATTAGCACACTCTATGCATTTAAATGTACTGCAAATTGTAGTGTGTAGCAGCTGTGTTCCACGGCTATCAAAAGTTGTTTGGCAATATGGGCAAGACGGCGTTATGGCCATGTGTTTTTCACGGTGAGAAAGGTATTTTTGTTGAGCGAGGAAATAACGTGGGCACTCCTCGCAGTAGAAGATGCGCCGCGCGGTCTTTGGAAGGTACATAAAGAGATGTAAATAATGGCAAATAGGATCTACTGCAGGTTTCTTGTCAATCAACCATTTGTGATAGGTTTGCATGTACCACAGTGAAATGAGATTAATAATGCGTTTCGTGTGAGCAATCGTTAGTTCAAGTTCAAATTTCTCATTTATGCGATGCATTAGCTTATTGAAATCTAGCTCCAATTCTTCATAACTCTTAATTCCGCTACCAACTTTCCAGAGATACTTGAAGTCGATATATATTTTTGCAAAGTCGCTCGCCTTTGACCGCATAGTCTCTAAATGTTCTAGTTTCAAACCGTCTTCCGCATTGGCATCCGCAATGATTTTTAACTTAAAAAAAGAGATACAAAAATGAAAATATTTACGCACAATTTATTAAAAAATTATAGGCTTATAAATAACAATTTTTATTGAGCTTTGAGACCGTTTTCTATGAAAAATTATTGTGGAAAAAACAACAATCTATCAGAGAATTTTTCGCAATATCTGCAAAGTATTTTATTCCAATTTATTTTCGATAATTTTTTATAAAAATATAGCTCGTCCTACTCTAAAAAATATAAACTTTGTACAAAACTCAGGAAAATTCAATAAATTTGCATACTGATTTGCAACTTTCTATTCACATTTTTTTTAAAAATTCTAAGTAGGCAGCTTTACAGCTCATCCAATTTTAGTAAAATAAGCACAGTGAAGTTGCTAAAAAATTGCGTTGATTTGTGGCAATTTTTTTCACTCAGGTTCTTCCATACAAATCGGCAATTATTATTTGTATAGAGAAAATGAGCTCATCTTCCACTAAAAAAATTGCCAAAAATCAACGCGATTTTTTAAGATACTTCAATTTTGCACTTTGTTATACTAGAATTAAATTGGCTATAAAACTGCATACTTAGAATTTTTCTAACAAATCTGAATAGAAAGTTGCAAATTAGTATGCAAATTTATTGAATTTTCCTGAGATTTGCACAAAGTTGAGAGATTTTATTTTTATGTTTGTTGGAGAAGTATGAACTTTATTTTTATTAAAAAATATTGAAAATAAATAAGAATAAAAGACTTTGCATATATTGAGAAAAATTCTCTGTGCCAATACTTTTTTCCGGCACTGTATATAAAAATGGAATTGCTTTCGTATGACCGCGATGCCTGACCAAACGACTGAACCGATTTCAATTATGTAAAAATTACTTTTTTTGGATCTTCTGTGTGGAAGGTTTTTCAATAAAAAAAAAATTCAAAACTTTTTGTTATTTTTACCAAAAAATTAAGAAATCTGAGACGTCACGATTTCACAATTTCATAGAGTTTTCCGTATATTGTATGTCACTAAACTACCAAACGGCTGTACCGATTTTGTTCATATTTCGATCATATGTCAGCAACTTGAAGAGAAATATTCCGACTAAAAATTTAATAGCTGGGTGGCGCCGGGGCCGTAATATTTCTAAAAACTGCATATATTTACAGATTTGGCTCATATTTGGATCATTTGTTAGCCAATTTAAAGGAATATTTGGGCTAAAAAATTACAGGTTAGGAGGTCCTTGGGATCGGGATATTCCTAACGTTCTTATACAGTGGGACAATGATGGATATCTACACATATACATACGTGAAAATAAAATGTTGAAACCCCTTTTTTGAGGGCACCAATTATCTCTTAAACCAACTACGCTGGGGAACTGAAACTTGGCACAGATGCATAAATTGTAAATACCCTACTTATGTCGAAAATTGGGAGATAGTGGGAAATGGGGCGCGGAACCTCCCATACAAACTTAGCATCTCCTATCGCTTATGGACTAGACTTTATAGATAATGAGAATTAAACAAACAAAAGATAAATAGTCAAAATGTTGAGGTGCTATCGTTCTGTCGCGAGCTGTATGTATTATTATGAGTTAAGATTCATTAACAGGAACTGGAAAATCGATTTTCTTCAAAACGTACCCACGGCAGTCGGGTGTACTCAAACAGAAGGACCAAATTTATATCTGGCCAAGGACTGTCGCTCCAACATCACGCCCCAAAAACTCGTTGGCGAATTTGTATACTATTTAAACAACAACTATCGTTTAAACCAAAGTCAGATTAACCCTGCATTGACAAACTGGCCCTTAGAGTCGCTAATGATAGAATGTGCTGGCTGGGAATTAATAAGTGAAACGTCACTTGATACTGTTGCAAATAAAAGTTAATATACTAATAAACAAGATCACTAAAGAGTAAAAGTTGGTCACTGTGTTCATCATATTATTTGATCATTGGTATTTCAAGACCAAAATATTCTTTAATACGTAACTACAAGAAACATAAAACTAAAGGAATATTTATATAACGAATCAAATATAGTAATATTATTTTCAGTATTAAGCTGCTATCCTCGTGAGCACGGAACTATTCAGAAATCAAAAATATATACATACATACTAGGAATGTTAATCCCGGGATCCCGGACTTTTCAAGGTCTAGAAAATCCCGGGATTCTTGGCAAGTAATTCCGGGATTTTCGGGATTTGTAATTTGCACTGATGGCAATATTAGAAATTCCTTTTCTTGACCAGCATTGGCTATATTTCTTTTTTTCATTTAATAATTATTTTTTTATTAATGTCTAGCTCATTATAAATATAACACCGCGCGATAGTAAATTTTAAACACAAATATCAATATATTCGCGAAACCCTGGTCCAAATATAGTAAAATTGCGTTTTTAGTTTTTCACTCTAACGTCAGTAATTCAAAAATTATTTAAAAAATTCAGAGAAATGTGCTTAGAGAAGAAGTATGGGTATAAAATTAATGAGGAAATCTTGTAGAATTTAAACAGATCCAAGTTTCTGGTGCAGAAGAGCTGGTAAATATTGAAAATGTCATTCTGAAATTTCGCAATATTTGTTTTTGAAAAAACTATAACGATAACATCCTCGAATTTCGTTCTCTAACTAGGTCAGCTTAGAAACTACCTATTCGTTCGTGTAAATTCAAAAATTTAAAATTTGTTTAATTCAAACGAAATTTCCTATTGCATTTGTTACCCATATTTTTATTCTAAATTGCATTGAATTTTTTCAACAGTTTTTGGAATTAATCATATCTTTGAAACTACAAAGTCCTTCAAAATAAATCCTGCGGTCAGAGAGAAAAAATACAAACGCCACTTTAAATAAAAAAGTAGGGGTCAAACCCATTTATTCATTATTTATTTCATGGTAGGAGAGCTTCTCAAACAATATAGAAGAATTTTTCTGATTAAAAAAATCAAAATTTAGATAAAAACTTGGGGAGTTTATAAAGTTTGAAAGTGAAAGTGTGATTTATACGGTTTTTGTTAAAGCATGAACCATAATATAATATATATATATATATATATATATATGAACCATAATATATATATACAGTATTGGACATATCTATAGCACCCCCCTTTCAAAGCGATATTGTTTGCCACTTATGTTTAATTATTTGTTTTTAAGAATTTTCAATTAAAATACAGTTCATTCTCTAACAAAACCCATATAAACCAATGTTTTAAACTTTTTAAAAGACCGCAAAAAAGTGCAACAAACTTTCCCTTAAATTTCAAACTTTTTTCTCAGAAGCTCTAGAATTTTTTTGAGTACACAGTTTTATAGCGCATTCAATTTTGTCCAATAATGTGGAAGTTTCAAGTCGCTAAAGACTACCGTTGATTTTTTAGAATATTTTTTGTCTCATTTGCTTCCATATAACGACTAAACACAATTTATTTTTATATGGCAGAAACCCGCAACATCCTCGGCGAAAAAAATTCTGAAAAATCAACGGTAATTTTTAGCCACTTGAAACTTGCACACTATTAGACTAAAATTGAATGGGCTATAAAACTGTGTATTCAGAAAAATTCTACCGCTTCTGAGAAAAAAGTTTGAAATTTGGGTGAAAATTTGTTCCACTTTTTTGCGGTCTTTTAAAAAGTTTTAAACTTGAGATTATGTGAGTTTTGTGAGAGAATGAACTGTATTTTAATTGAAAATTCTTAAAAATAAATAAATAAACATGAGTGGCAAACAATATCACTTTGAAATGGGGGTGCTATTGTATTGGCCAATACTGTGTATATATATATGAACCATAATATAA